TGGTCTCATCACAGTAACATCTTCAGACTGCGCGAATTTTCAAAATGTGGTTAACATAGCCCTCAGGATGTTCCCACGTTTCTACGACACCACGGATGATGTTCTACGTCTCGACCCTCGTTGGCCGCAGATATCCGCTAGTTTCATGGATGTTCTTCCTTGAAGACTAACTATACTAAGCGGCAGTCCTCGTCATTTCCGAGACTCTTTTTTCTATTGGTCTGTTTATTTATTCCCTTCCCTTATGCCTACTTTCAAGCTTCATATTCTTCATCGTTATCCAGCTAATGTTACTTGCCTTGAACTTAAGCCAAAATTATGCCAAAACCCGCACCGGAGACGAAAAATCCGTGATAAGTTTTCATTTTTCAAGTATAAGCTTGCTAACACGTTTGCAAGTTGTATGTAAAAGATATTTTTTAAAATCGAAATCGTGTCCACCCTAGTTTGCATAAGTTTGCTACCCGGTAACAGCCTAACTATTTTTCTTATATTTCTTTCAGGAAAAAGGCCTATTTTAGAGTGAAAAAAAACTACAGAAAGTTCAGCTTTTGGGATAATCCCACACATCGTCTAAGAGGCTACAGTTCCCTGCAAACTTGCTGCAATGGCCGCTCTTCGAAATTTAGTACTGTTTGCTGTTCTCATCAAGATGGCCATTTGCGCCATGATTGTAAGCTCTGTCTGATATTCACTTCACACAAACAGGTCGTCTTCAGTCTACTTCCAGATCATGCTGCGGACGCATTTTCTCCCCCGGAGCCTGATTGCACCTCTTATTGGGATTGCTTCGTGAGGAAGTCTTTGTCGGGTTTCCGCAAGTGGGACTCAATACACTTTCACTTCATAGCTGTCAATGGATACGTGCTGGAGAGCAGCCTTGCCTTTTTTCCCTTGCTACCCTCTCTAATTCACTTACTCGCCCGCATAACTACTCCGCTAGTGTCCTTTCTGTCTTTCGATGGCCGCTGTTTGCTGCTTGGTGTCATCATTAACTTCCTTTGTAATGTTTTGTGCTCTGTACAGCTTTACCGCCTATCCAAACTTTTTCGTCTGAGTGATTCACTCTCTGTGACCGCAGTCCTTCTGTTTATCGTGAATCCAGCATCCGTCTTCTTTTCCGTTCTTTACTCTGAAGCTCTGTACTCTTTGCTCCTGATTTCCGCCCTGGTATGCCTACACAGTCAAAGACCCTTCCGGGCATGTTGCCTTATTGCTCTCAGTGCCTTCTGTCGCAGCAATGGACTTGTTAACGCCGGCTTTGCCTGTTATCCGCTTTTCATAGCTATAGTAACGCTTACTCCAGCAGTTTGGAGGAACGCCTGGCAGAGGTTGCGGTCTCGAAAAGCGAACCTTCTTGCCATAGTAAAGACCTTTTCGTCAATCGTACAGAAGGCTGGTCTCATCGTAGGCATTATCTGCACCACCTACCTTCCTTACGCCTTGTTCCAATTTAACGGTTGGCTGCTGTACTGTCGTGATGATCATCATCACCATTCCCTTCGATCGGCTCTCCTCCCTCCCCCTCCCTCTCCTGCGCTGTCCGCGTATGCACTACAGTTGGCTGTCCTGACGCCATTTACGACAAACTTAACTGTAGCACCTGAGTGGTGCAGCCACGTTCCACTTTCCTCCTACAGTAAAATTCAGTCCAAGTTCTGGAACGTCGGTTTCCTGCACTACTACCAGTTTAAGCAAATCCCCAACTTCCTTTTAGCTGCACCCGTTCTTGTGATCAGCTCGCTCATAATCTACAACTTCTACTGTTCTGCACGGAGAGCCCTCTTGACGGCAGGAATCCTTGTGGAAAATGTAAGGCAGCAACAGCTACTCCCACATGTATATCACCTTCTATTCTTGTCTCTTTACGGGGTCGCCAATATCCATGTTCAGGTGAGTCTCCTCTTTCAGCATTATCTTCCCTTTTATGTTTTTAACTTGGTAGCATAATTTGTGTGATTTAATGTACATCAAGAATTTTAGGCAAATTATCCATTTAGTGAGGAGTGTCACTGGCAGAAATATCCGCATCTCGGAGGATCATTTCTGGCGTATTTACCGTCATCAGAACGGTCACGCCAAATGCCTGCCCTGAGTTCTAGCACTTTGATT